GCTTTCCTCTTTTTTTTTCCCCTCGCCCTTTCGCCAAGAAAAGCAGGCCACCGCCCTTTCTTCTAGACTACGGCCTACTCCGGGGGATCTACGGTCCTGCATATGAACCATACCTTGAGGCATTTAGCCGAGGGGAAGGAGGAGGAGGAGGTTGGTTGGTTGGTGACTTGTTACTAGTGCAGTGGTTTTTTTTTGCTTGGCTCTCGTGAGTTTCTACTCAGCCTTGCCAGGGACGACTCTATCCGTACGGACCGTACCCGCCGGCCGCCGTGCCGCCATTGCCAAATTCGGAACTCTGGAGATGTGCTATTCCTGGACAGAGAATGCCTGCGGGATGGTATCTGATCTGCGTGTGTGAAAAGGAGGTGTGTCACTCAATGGATGATCTCCAACTGGGATATTTTCTGCATAGTTGTATGTGACATGTTACCCGTGTTCACCCCATGTTACGATCCTCCTTCACTTCGGCACTTGCAAGTTTTGGAACTTGGTTCTCCCCCATCGTCGTTTCTGAAAAAACGCCCCCCAGTTACGCGGGGGGTTGGGGTTTGGGTGGGAGGATGGAACTTTGGGGGGTCGGTTTGACATTTGGCATGGCGGGGAGTTTTGATAGGTGCCCGACGGTGACATTTCCTGGGGGAGACCGGCAACGGCGAGGCAGACAAAACAAAGCCACCCGGAGGAAAGATCCGAGCTCTTCACGAAGGGGGACCAAGAATCCGGGGATCATCAATATTCCCCAATCAGAGCAGAAGGGGAACTCAGGGCTGGGTTGAGAATAGAATAGATATCTAGCCGTACGGGTACGGGTAGGGGAGATGGGAATTTGACCATTGTTTTACAGGCCAAGAAATGGCATGTTGCTTGAAACTTCTTGGCTGTCGAGTGTAACTACCACGACAGGACAGAAGACAAACACGGAGGAAAGGTGGCCATCAATGCTTCAACAGAATTCTTGGCGAAGGGGTCTTTGGGGGGGATCTCGACAAGAAATCTGGTACCCGGCTTGGGATTGGAGAACCAAGACTTCATCAATGCCCGTGAGAGGGTGACAGGAAGAGAGGACGACATGCGGGAAAAGAAACGCCAATGCCGATCTGGCACCCAGCCTCAACCGGGCCAAGACCGATATTCGTGAGCATCGAAAAAAGCTTCAATGCCGGCAAATCGTCTTGGGACTTCTTGGGGTGACGGATCAGGGTGGGAGAAAAGGCTTGAGAACCTCTTGGAAACTCTTGGGTGCTCTTGGCGGGTTTGTAAAGGTCCGCTAGGTGTTTTGGATGGGGAGGAATCTGTTGGTCGAGAGCAACTTTTTTTTTTGCTTGTGTGTTTTTTTAGAAAAAAGATGCGATGAGACGAAAAAATGGGAAAGAGAGTTCAGACGTCTCTCCCCCCCCCCCCCTTCCCGCCCGACGGGATTGATGGGCGATCACTCTTCCCTCTACGGAGGGATTCTCCGTACGGGACAGGCAAACCCCAAGCGTCGAGCGTGCCAAGCATGCAGAAGTGAGTTTAGGCATGAATTCTACAAGCGCCACAGGCCACAGGCTTACAGATTCTTCTCTCTCGAGGAACGTGTGTCGTCTCTACGTCGTTTGAGGTGGTTGCAGAAAGATCGTTAGAAGGTCCCCCCTTTCCACCCCGTACGAGCATCACATTTCTGCAGTGCAGTTTGTCTGCGTGTGTCTTACCTTAGTCAATCACGTTGTTGATCTGGTGCCGCAGCGGTATTACTATGTATAACTTCTGTGCTCATCCAGCCATGAACCAAAACTGGTCAAACGGACCCTGCAGGACTTTTGTGTACGGCTGTATGGCCCAAGAGGCACGAGCCATGTTTCCAAAACGGCGAAAGTTGATACGTGCCGCAAGTTATTACGGCACTTGGATGACCAAATCTGCGACTTGGCAAAGTCTTGCGCTGAATCAGTTGCAGTCTTGCCAAGACAATTTCGAGGGACGTTCTGACGAGTGACTTCCAACGGAAACAAGAAATCGAGGCTGGCCTGCAGGAGCATGGGGATTACATCGAACATCGCATAACCCCAAAAAAATCACCGAGTTACACCGATTGAACCATCAACCACCCCCATGGGGACGGTCAATTGACCGGTGGCTTTCTTGGTTCACAACCTGGAAAGCGACTCCATTCTTGGGGCCTGCCCTTGGGGTATCCTCTTTGCTGTTTGGAGAAAATACAGGGCATGGTTTTCTCTTTGGTAACAGGCATGACAGGTAAGTGGTCGGCCATTGGGGGCCGTGTTTAGAATGGAATACGGCCGATCACTACCGGCCTCGCCCACTACCAAGCTCATGGGAGCCCACTAAAGGGTTGGCCTTGGTTGGTCGAATTGAAGGATCTTTGAGAGAACCAAGAACCTGCTGGAAGCCTGGTGTGCCTGGAAACCCGGGTCGGAGATGGCCTTGTTGTCGTCGGTGCGCCAAACAAATGGGACCGGAGTTGAGAAATACTGGGGAAGGACGATGGGGAAGCAGAAGAGATGGAGGAGAAACTGGAGCCTCGCGAACGGTAGCGTGCCCTCGTGAGTCGTGAAAGCCTCGTCCATGGTGCGCGCCTGCGCGGAGATGTGCGTGTGGGCAAATCACAATCTCTCCGAAATAATGAGGCGGTCAAGATCCGCGGACTCTACTTGTTTAGCAGCGGGTATTTCTGCGCTGCGGCATGGCCAGCCCGGCGCTCAATTCGCGCCGACCGCCGTCCGGGTATAGCACGAACGTCGTCATTCGCGCAAACCACATCGATTCGACCACGCCGGTGCGGTCCCGAGGTACGGAGATGGGGACGATGGGGTAGGCGGGTTTGCCCTTATTTTCTTTGTATTAATCTTTTTTGTTCATAAGAGACAAGGAGATATACCCCCCGATTCAAGGCCTTTCATTGGTCAGGACAGCCTGGGAAAGCATGGAATGCCAGGAATGGATACCGAGGACACGAAGAGAGTGAGAGTGAAATATCCATCGGCGCGATTAGCCCCGTATGCACAGGGAACCACTAGCCTCTAGTATCAATAAGGAACCGAGGAGGATTTGAGGAATGGAATGGAGTTCCCATTGTTGCATTAAGACGATTCGGCCCATGCCCAATTTTAGGGAAGGGGCCTTTCCCTCGCCGAGACGACGACGACGACGACGACGACGACGGCTACGACAACGACGGCACGTCACAGAGGGACCCCTGGACTCTCCTCCATCAGATTCAGACTTGGACTGGGTAATTGACGGGAACCTGTTTGACAACGCGCCGTTTCTGGGAAACCCCACGTCACGAATCAGCGAAGCACAAAGAGATTTATGGCAAAACGAACCGAAGAGCATAACATAAAAATAAAATTGGATCCTCGTTATGAGCAGAAAACAGGGTCTCTAGTGGCTGGGAGTGGAGTCGAAGGCTGATTCAAGCTGAGGACGACGACGAGGATCGGAGGACGAGGATAGTAAGCGCCTCCGCCGCCGTAGGACCGTAGGACGGCTGACGGCCAGACTGATGGAGCTCTGGGGGCTGTTTTTGTTCGAGGTCGTTCGCCTGGTTTCAGTCAAAGTGAAGATTGCTAGCTGGTCATTTTCGTTGACTTTTCTCTTCTTCTGATGATAAGATGGGACAATGCAACGCGACGGAACTCTCGCGGTTGCATCTGCCCTGTCCTCGACGGATACCACGTTGGAAATAGAAGTTTGAGCGATTTGGGACTTGGTCTGGCCTGGTATGGTTCGGCTCGAGACCTGACATCCCATCTGTTGGCGTTGGCGTTAATACTGGTGCGGCAGCTTGTTGCTGCATTATCTTGACAGGAAGAGTTTGTTTGGTTGGGAGAGACGAGTCCGCCACGCCGTCGGGCCTTTTCCGACTCCCAGACCGCCACCTTCACAGTGCTATGCACGCAGCACGCCTCACTGGTGAATCAAGGCCCTCTGAAGAGCTTTCAGTATGAGCCAAATAACTCACCGTGGTATCGTCCTAATACACCTAGGAGACTCCACAAGTCTACGGCGTATTCCCGGGTGTAGAGACGGCTCCGTTCTGTTTTGAACGAGGGGCCCGCGTTTCCAACGTGGAGGGTTACATTCACCTACCGCCGCAGTGTATCCGTAGTACCGTACCCGTCGTGCGCCAACCCGACCCGACCACACACGTCGATGAGGCGAACTGTGCGTTTTGCGGACGCTAGGAGACTTGTTGAACCCTTGACTGGTCGTGACATGCAGGAACTCTGGGGTTCGCTCATCGGCTGCAACTTTGCGCGCGTGTATGGAGTACCTTGGGTATGTACCTGACTATTTGTGTGCGCAACCCTGCCAGAAACGAGACGGTGGTATCGACCTTGGCGGGAGTCGTATCTCAGTCCGTATCTTTCGACGTCGTATTCTTAGGAGCCTTCAACTTTGAGAAGGGAACGTGGGGTGTGGGAGGATTGGGGCAACATTTGGCGATCTTGGACGACGGACGAACAAGCGCGACACATTTTTGACACGGCACTAAGGTACGCTCCCACGGCTCCCACGACGTTTACTCTCAGTCTCGAGTCTCGTCCGGGACTACAGGCCGGGGCCAGGCCAGGCACAGACGATTCCTGTATGCTTCCCGCGATTTGCGCTCCCAAAAGCCATGGGAAGGGTGCAGAGTGGCTGGGGGGGCTGGGAACGTGGTGGTGGATGGGTGACGGTAACACAAGACGCCATCGAAGAGATACAAGCCTCTAGTGGCCGATCTGCAGATATCGGCTGTACTAAGGGCGGGCATCGTGTAGACGGGCACATCCGTCGTTGAAGAGTGACAGTGGTGCGCCGCCAGCGTTGGCGTCTGGTGGCGTCGTCCTTGTGTGTAGTGTGTACAGATAGTATGCGGTGCGTGCGGTGAGCGGTGTGCGATAGGTGTGTGCCATGTGTGTTTATGTCGTGATATGCCGTTGGTGGTGTAGGGGTTTTGGTTGGACGAAACCGGGGGGAGGGATAGAGAGAGGAAATGCCAAGAGAAAGGAGGCTCAATCGGCTGTGCAACTCGACATTGACGACATTGTGATTGAGAGCTTGCGTTTCGGCCGTGGCTTTGCAGTCTGTGATGGTGTTGTGGTTGGATGTTGGTGGCAGGCTAGGAAGCGATGGAGTTTTCTCCGACACGCAGCCAAGTCCAGCCCTGCCCGCCTGCCACAGCTTACGCAGATCACCACAGGTGAGGCAGGCGCGGCAGGTGAGCAAGGTGAGGCAGGGAAGGAGAAAGGCAGGTGAATGAGGAAAAGGATTGACAGGAACCACGAAGTCACCCAAGCATCAAGGCAAGGCAGGTAGGTACTTGACGATGCTTGGCGCTTGCCGTTCAGAGTGCCGTTCATGTTCCCAACCTTAACGGCAGGATAACGACAGGAATCTCCGCTGTGGCCGCGGTGTCCCGTCGTCCAATTGCATATCAAAATATCTGCAGATGCAAGAGCGTCGTCGTTGACTTTTTCCGCCGCCACCACCGCCTCCGTCGCCTTCGCCGGACGTTGACTTTTTTTTTTCTCCTCTCCTTGTCCTTCCATGTTTAATCGTACCTGGGATATGGCGTTCTTTGTCTGACAATCTTCGTCGGCCGCGCGGGACCAGGGTCGAGGTACAGACGACTCGAACCAACAAAGCGGCAGACTGTGGTTCTGCACAAGAGACGGAAACTCAGGTACAGGGGACCCCCAATCAATGAATGAGGCCCCTTGTTGCACAAATCGTTTTGTTGTTGGTTCTTATCTTGCATCCCACAGCCTCGAGCATACTTGCGCACGCACAAGCCATCCGAAAACAGGGCAGGCAGGGCAGGGTGGCAGGGCACCTTGTTGAGAGTGCAAGGCTCACAACTAGTGTACGGATAACTCGACGGGAACGACCAGAGTCGGAAGAGCCACCCGACGCTTGATAGGCGCCATCGGTGGCTCGGGCCAATTGACTTGGTTTATGACGATGTAAGTGGCTACTTTACCGGTCACGGTCCAAGCTCACGACTCGGCAGAAGTAAGAGGTTTCTCACTTGAGGCTAGAGTCTAATTGCTAAGCCTCAATTGACGAAATGTTCAAATCAGACAAGTCAATGCCCTTGAGGTTGGGATTATTGGGAACTTGGGACCTGGGTAGGGGTTGGGGGGGAACCGAAAGAAAGCCCCAATGTATGTTTGTAGGCATAGAGCAGGACTCAAGGACGACGTTGCGTAGTTTGTGATATCTGACTTGCCATCATCAAATGTCGCGGGATGCTTGCCTGCCTGTCGCAGTGTTGTGCGGCTTGCCTGTCATTTGTGCCTGCATTTCGTAAACTCGGCCTGCTACTCCGATTTCCCCCAGCTTTTGATTTCATTAGAGTAATCTTGGCAAGTTGAGGCCTGGGTCAAATGGCCAAGTCACAAGTCGCGATTGGAAAGTGAGATGGTCATGTCTCAGCCCCACTATTCCCTTCCAGCCTTTTTTCCCCATAAAAAACTGCTGCAAAGCACCAAAAGGAAGGAGTGAACCGAGATGGGCGCTATGCTTCCTTTGGTAGGCAGACACGGCAGGAGAGCCCAGGGCCCAAATGTTCGCATCTCGGTAATGACGCGAGATGCAGGACCGGCCGGGTTTAAACGAAGAGAGAGCGAGACTCACCCCCAAGCTTTCCCGAACAATGAGCCTTTGATTTCCCTTCAGCCTGATTTCCTTGATTTATTGGAAAGTTGGGGGCCCGTAATCCGTTGCCAATGCCATTTCGGTCCCGTCTTCTCTTTCGTCAGAACCGAAGCCGCGGTAAATCCACCCACCATCCATCCACCACTAATCACTGACCACTCATCCACCCCAGATTCCCAAGGCCAAGTGGAAGAGTCCGGCTTAGGCTTGGTTGCTCGTCAAATTACTTTGTCAAGCGAGCCGCGACATTGAGAGAGAAAGATAGGAAAAATACCCTTCTCCCCCCCAAAAAAAAACCCGAGAGAAGCCCGGACGGGGCGAGCGATGCATGCAACAACGCATACAATCATACAAACCAGGTCTACAGAGTGCAGATACCAAGTTAGTGCTACCAACATGGCCATGGAACACATGCCTCCCCAGGCCTCGGCAAAATGACCCAGCGACTTTGGGAAATTCCTCATCCAGGCACGCCAACGACTAATCTTGGCCCAACTTCCAAGCCCGGGCCAACAAGGCACGTTCGTCACAGGACAAGGCAATCGAGCACCAAATAAAATATGTCCTTCTCTTATCTTCCTCCCGAGTTGAATACAGATCACGGATCGCGCGCCAAGCGGTTGTTTCCGAATGCATCCTGGTCGTGCGACGCGAGGGTCGGTCTTGACCAAAGCTTCTACCAATCCCTGTGCCACACAACGCTACGGTTACCATGAAGGAGGTCCAAGGCAACCTGGAAAAGAGGTTGAGAAAACACACAGACGCACGCTTGCAGAGTCCCAATTCGTCCCTTCAGATTCCTTGGATGTTTGATCTTCCACAGTGTTGACTGTTTCAACTCAACCACGACGACGACAATTCCCGCGACATGGCAAGGCGAAGAAGGAAAGGAACAGCATCCCCGTTCCGTCCCATCCCATCCATACCCCTTCGAATCAGGAAGAGACAGAGACACACAGAGAGCCACAGAGAAAGACCATGACGGAGAAACGTCGAATTGCCGACATAGCAGGGGTATCCGTACCTGGATTGTACCCACACCCTGGACAATTCCGCAGTTCCCACAGTTGCAGAACATTGATCCACCGATCCATTCAACCCAGCGCTGCCAATCCAATCCCGTCCCGTCTTCTTCTTCATCGATCCCAGCCAATGACGGCTCGGATATTCGTTGACATGCATTGGCAGGCCAAAGGTGGGCTAGCTAGTCTGCAAGGGATCCGCAAAATTGCCGTGTTTGTCGTGTGTCGAAAATTCCCGCCCACACGGCTGCTGCACCGAGACTGCGGGACTTTTTCTCCCAAAGCACCGAAGGTTGGATGGGATTTTCCAGGTTCGTCTGGCAAGCGCAATAGCATCGCTTTATGCAGCGACAGGACGACTGCAGAACACTCGAAAAAGGAAAGACGGGCAGTAGAACACGGCACCGAGAGCGAGTCCAGCTAGGTCAACCAGAGAGAGAGAGAGAGAGAGAGAGACAGACTTCCGGGGGTCCAGTTCCGCCATGTCTTGGCGACTTCTGGTTGGGGAGGCTTGGCTGAAGCTGAAGCTGGTCTCTTTTTACTGCTGTAGGCCCCGATTGTCTGTTCTCAAGTTCTGAGCAGACACACGAAGCCCCGTGGCTGGCCCGGCTGGGAGTTCTGTCACCACTATCATACTTTGGCGTGTACCTCAGCAATGACGATTTCCATAAACTCTCCTGGCCACCCTCTCCCATGCAGGTCCAGCACATCAATGGGACTTTTTCACAGCCGCAATCGACAAAGGGAAGAAGCAAAGGTCGGACGAAGATTGAGTTCCCAGGCGGGAGGACTGGCCACCAATTGGCAACGATGGGGAGAGAAAAGAGACACGAGAAGGATGAGAGGGAAGGGCAACACGGCGAAAAAAGAGCGAGCAAAAAGTGAAATCGCATAGGCTCGGCCACAGCCCGCGTATCTGCAGCTCGCAGCACGTCAAAAGAGAAACCCCACGGCAACTGAAGCTCCAGAACCCCTGTTCGATCGAGAGGATTGATGGGGATCGAGTGGGTTCCCTGGGGCTCTGCAGGGGCCCTGCCATTGGAGCAAGGGGACCCTCCTCGTCAGCTTGCTGCCCCAGGAACTCCTCTTCTTTTCATTCTAGCGTTGCTGCTAGTGTTTTCCTATCGTGGCAGGCATCTCCATGGAACCGAACTGGTGTCCACCCAGTGTGCCAGTGAGCCAGTGGTGCCCCCATCCATGGCAAAGAAATGGGCTCCAGCAATGCATTGCGCGAACGGTTTCCCTTCGATGCCGCACACACCAATGCACGATGTCCCTGAGTCGGAAAAGTCAGGACTCGCCTCCTCCTCCAGGCTTGGCTTGGGACGTTTGTGGCTCCTCCCACGAATGCCAGACGAGCATGACAAGCAGCAACGGGCCAGCGACAGCGGAGCGCGACTTCTTTGCAGCGTATTACGCCAGAGATTGCACACGGATCATCCAACGGGTCTCTTTCGCGCAAATCTCGCTTTTGGCCACGTTGGTCCAATGGCGTCTTCCCGGTTTCCCACTGACTAGTCGAGTCCTCACTTCCGCTCGCTCGTCGAGTCGTCGGAGGTCGGAGAGTAATTCACAGCTGGGTATCCGCGTAGGAGTCGTGGAAACTTCGTTGGAACGGGGTTCGTCGACAGGAGTGACCGGTCAACGGGCCGGCCGACTTGCCACATTGAACAGCAATCATCCATCCAGCTCCGTCTGGAACCATAATCCATCGTCATCTCGCCTCCGACTGCCATGCTGTCCCTATCTTTTCGTCGAGACTACTTGACTACTCTGTATTATTACACGCTGCCTTGCGTGCCGAGATGCGAGAACTAGGCAGATTGACGTATCCGTAGCGCTTCCACTTTCACCACACGCAAGCCAAGAGCAAGGCCAGTCAGGCCCTCCCCCAGGATACAGCCAGAACGAGCCAAGTGGCGTTCTTGACTTCCGTGGGTGAGGCATTTGATGGACGCCAGCCAGTCCGGTCGGTCAAGCCAGGTTCAAGCGCAAATGAGGACATAGGGATTATACACCGCGGGCACACCGCACAAGCTACAGTGCTGCACACGCATACGGCGCGTGAACGGGACCCCAATATCCCGCATCGTATGCGCTGCCCGCACTGCACAAAATCTGCCTCGTTTTTTTTTTTCTTGGCCCGCAACGTGAGTGACTTTGCAGGTTGAACGTCGCCGATTCATTTCCCACCCCCATCCAATATTGCGGTGATTTCTTCCCCATTTCCCCATATCCATAGGCCCCAACATTAATCAGTCTGTGTGTGCACATACTGAACGTAATTGGATAGTCACGGCACATGGCGTCAAACTGTCTTGTCTTGAAGTCTCCGTACCGTGGCAAGTAGAAACCACTCATACTGCTATTCCAGGAAATCCATACTCTTAATGCTACTACGATACCGTTGCACTCTTTGATCGAGGTTTGGTTTTGGGCTTGGCCGGGGGTAAAAAGGCTTGGCAGGTTTCTCCCCGGAGTATCTCGTTGGTCGGACTTGTTTTTTTATTCTTAATTTGGGTTAAAGATTTCCTCTGCAGTGCAGTGCCAGCGGTGAAGAGCTTAAAAAAAGAAATACGCTAACAGGTGTGTAGTGTAAGAGACAGAGAGGCAAGGCAAACGCGCAACACTTGAGGGATGGGATGGTTCACGTATAGCCTCAACTCAAGGCCCGTCGCGAGGCAGATCGCTTGACAGTGTTTCCGAGGAAAGACTTGGCGATGCTTGGGGGAGGGGCAGAGGCAGTGTCACAGTGAAAGCTCAGGGAGAGAGAGACACACACACAGAGAGAGACAGAGAGGGCTTTGACCGCCGCCTGTCACTTTCGTGTAATTCAAAACCCTACGAATCGTGAATGGACCACCCTCTTCACACGCAACCAAACACCCTTCGCCGCGGTCTATTCCGGGGATTTCTTGGCGCTGCTTACTGGAGTCTCGAGAGCCATAGCCAGACATAGACTTGCATCACCGCAGTCGAGGGCAAGACGAGGACATGACAATTGGAGTCTTGGCAGAGGCTCTATCCTAGATGCCCGTCCAAGTGCCCGTCCGCACTGTACAGCGGAAGCAAGACGGAGTTGGGAGTTGGGAGTTGGACGTTGCTAGTGGTGGTCCTTTGCCCTTCCCGCCTCGGCTCCTCCAAAAGGAAGTTTTCCGCCCCCACCACGCTGCATGCTGCAAAAGTAAGTAGTGCTGTGCAAAGTGGTTCTCAGTGCCGGTGCAGATGTGCAAAGAGGTCCAACAATGCAGCGTCGGTCTGCAAGTACTCCGTACATAGTGCAAAGTCGGGACGCGAAAGCGGGTGGATGCCAAGCGGAAAGGGTTCGCCGTACGGAGACTCCATTGTCGAGCAAGCCATCTGCGGTAAGGTTGATGGCGGGACTTCGGAGAGGTACAAAGATACCTACCTGTTTGGTGCTGGGTTGCTTATCGCGCGTGGACCAAGGCTTTCCAGGGTTCACCGGCTTAGAGGTTTTGGACGTGGAATTGGGGAACGAGGCGGCGGCGAGTTAAGTCACGTGATGTGGGTTTCGGAGCAGAGCTGAAACTGTCGCGACGACAAGGGGCCGGACGAAAAGAGATGGGGAGTGGAGGACAAAGAGTACGTATTGCGAATACCTCACACGGTACGTAGCCCCGGGACTCTCTCTCTCTCTCTCGACTCTCGACTCTCAAGTCTCTCACTCTGGAGGGGTCAAAGGGGGGTGCGGTCGTCCAATTGGAGGGGCAATGGAAAGGAAATCCTCCCCTTCAGACCCCCCCCCCCTCCCCCTTCCAAGTCCCGACTCCCGACTCTGGTCTCTCTTCTCTCTGCTCCAACTCTCCCAGTCCCAGTCCCTGATAGTCAAACGTCTCTTGTTCTTTCAACCCACGGAACATGTCCTTTAGCAGGGGGGTGTGTCCGGGTCCGCGCTCAACGTGGACTAGACAGATGGGACACTTCCTCACAACCGAAGGAACTCTGGAGACTGCAGACTGGAGACTGGAGCTCGACTTTTTTGCGGCGGCGCGCGGGGGGTTGCCCGAGAACAGAGGTGAACTACGAATACTCCGTACGGTGCAGAGCTCGACGAAATCTCGGAATTATGTCTGTGTCAAGTACGTAGCGTACCTAGTGTATCGGTATCCGTACTGGTAGTAGCTCCTCTTCTTTCTGACCTCGTCTGTCTTTTTTTCCCTCAAATCTTTTTTATTGACGTGCCCAGCAAGCGGCCAGCCCAGCCCAGTCCATCCCGCCATAACCACCACCCCCCCTAGGACACGCCGTGTAGTACTACTGAGGCATTTTATTTTTGTATCATAGAGACTTGAACTTGACCCCCATCTTCACCCTCAACCCCCATACAATGGCAAGTCACTGCAGAGTTTCTTCCTCGAAACGCACGACTCACGCTGGCTTCCCCTTGTTGTCAGATATCCATCCTCGCATCCTGGCAGATGAGACAGCGAGTTGTCTCTGTCTTGATAGGTCGGCCCGTCTAATGGGGCATCTGGGGGACCAAATTCACGCTAGAAGCTGGCCAATATTCTTCCACACAGAAAGAGGCTTGGCCCCAAAAAAAGGCACGAGACATGGAAGTGAGAGAGACGGAGAAAGAGAGAGAGAGAGAGATAGCACGGCGTGACTACTCACACGTACACGAGAGAGAGAGCGAGGCAAGCAAGCCCGCCAGCCGCAAGCCGCAAAGCTAATGGAAAGGAACGCGGGTCCCAAAGGTCCCCACGTCCAACGCCGTAGTAGGCTGGATTGCCCTGCCAGCCAGCTCGTTCTAGTGTAGCTCCCCAGTTGTTCGGCACGAAGTCCTCGTCTCTTGTCTTGTCAGTGTCTTTCTAGCGGCAGCTAAGCTGTACTTCGTACACAGTGGTACATACTGGCAGTGACAGACAGACAGATAGACAGACAACGCCTTTCTCGCTCCACAGTTTTTTTTTCTTCTCTCGCTCTTTGCTCCTAAGTACTGCTGCTGCTCCTTCTGCTCCTACTTGTTGCGCCAGACGTTTGCCCAGCGGCAAAAATGTCCCGTCGTCTCTACTCTGTATCCGTACCCTTGCTCGAAATAGCATCGACGTCGCTCGCCCGGTCACAGTGTGTGGGTTTTTCCCTCACCCGCATCTGTTTTGATGCTTGCAACTTCTTGGCGTTGATCCGAGCAAGACGGGGTACGCAGCTACACGCCGGTCCCTTGTTCACACACACACCTACCACACAGCTCACACACGCCGACGCCGCGGTCTCTTGCCTCTCGTCTCGTTTCTTGCCTCTCCATTGCCGCGCGAGGGTAGGTACCAAAGTACGGAGAGTATGGAGCATGCCACAATGCCAGTCTACCTTTTTTTTCCCCCTTCCACACTGGGGGCCGTGGCCCATACCCTTCCTTACCTTGCCTTGCCTTGCCTTGGTCCCATCTTCTTGTTCCCATCC